GAAAGAAGGAAAGAAAGGAAGGGAAGGGAGGGAAGGGAGGGAGGGAGAGAGAGAGGGAGAGAGAGAGCGGGGGGGAGAGAGAGAGAGAGAGAGAGAAAGAAAGAAAGAAAGAAAGAAAGAAAAAGGAAAAAAACTGTTGACCAAGAATTCTATATCCAGCAAAGCTGCTCTTCAAAAATGAGGGAGAAATCAAGACATTCTCAGACACACAAAAGCTGAGGGAGTTTGTTGCCATTATATCTTCCCTGCAAGAAATGCTAAAAGGAGTCCCACAGGCAGAACACCAGACAGTAACTCAAAACTGTATGTAAACATATACGCATCAAATAACAGAGCTCAGATCCAATGGGCAAACACTGCAGAATTGAAGGGAGAAATAAATAGGTCTACAATAACAGTTAGAGACCTCAATACCCCACTCTTAATAATGGACAGAACATCCAGACAGAAGATTAAGTATATAAAGGATTTAAGTACATAAAGTATTATAAAGTACTATAAACCAACTAGACCTAACAGACATATAAAGAACACTCCATTCAACAACAGCAGAATACACATTCGTATCAAGTGCACATAGAACATCCTCCAGTGTAGACCATATGTTAGGCACAAAAACAAGTCTCAATAAATTTAAAAAGATTGAAATCGTACAAAGTATCTTCAACTACAATGGAATGAAGCTAGAAGTCAGTAACACAAGGAAAACTGGAACGCTTACAAATATGTGGATATTAAACAACACACTCAAAGCATCAGTGCGTCAAAGTAGAAATCACAAAGGAAGTTGGAAAATACTTAGAGATGGATGAAAACAAAAACCCAACATACTAACAGTGATGGGATGTGGCAAAGGCAGTGTGCATGGGGAAACTGACCACTGTAAGTGGCTACTTTGAAAAAGAAAGATCTCAAATCACTAACCTAACTTTACACTTCAAGGAAGTAGAAGAAAAGAGTAAACTAAAATCACAGCTAGTAGAAGAAAGGAAAGAAAGATTAGAGCAAAGATAAATAAAATAGAGACTAGAGAAATAATAGAATCATTGGAATCAATGAAACCAAAAGTTGCTTCTTTGAAAAGATCAACAAATCAACAAACTTTTAGCTAGACTGACAAAGAAAAAAGAGAAGATACAAATAACTAATCAGAAATAAAAATGGGGACATTACTGCTGACTGTATAGAAATAAAAAAGATAATAAGAGAATACTATAACAAATTATACACCAAATTAGATAACCTAGGAGAAATGGACAAATGCCTAGAAACACACAAATTACCTAAATTGCCTCAGGAGAAAACAGAAAATCTCAATAGACCTATAACAAATAAAGGGATGGAATCAGTAATTAAAAACCTTCCAACAAAGAAAACTCTAGGACCAGACAGCTGTAGCAGTGAATTCTACTAAACATTTATAGAATAATTAACTCCAATTCCTACCTAACTTTTCCAAAGACCAGGAGGGGGCACCTCTAAAGGCCAGCATTACCCTGGTGGCAGACAGACGGACAGAGGTGCCACAAGAAGAGACAGTCACAGATGGGGAGGGCATAGAAAATAGATGTTGGCTCTGCCCCAGTGCCCGGCACAGAGCTCCTGAAACCCGTAGAATTCCCTGTGATAAGAGCACCAGGAGCGTCTTCTGTTCTAACATTTGGCCTTGGATCCCGATTCCTGGCAGAGCTCCTAAGGCCTGGAATTCCGTGGGTGATAGGAGTGTCTTTTGTTCTAATGGGGTGACTCCTGGATGGCTCCTGGATGGGGGCTGGTGTCCAGAAAGACCAAGCCATGGTGAGAAGTCCGGGATTTTCAGCCCTGCCCCCCATCCTCCAGAGAGGGGAGAGGGGCTGGAAATGGAGTTAATGACTGATCACGCCTACGTGAGCAGCTTCTGGGCTGGTGAACATGTGGGGGCGCTGGGATTGGGCACAGAAGCCTCCGCCCCTTCCCACAGACCTTGCTCCACACACCTCTCCCATCTGGATCTTCATCCACATCCTCCATCAGACCCTTTTGTAATAAACAGGTAAACAGTAAGTAAACTGTTGTCCTGAGTTCTGTGAGCTGCTCTAGCAAATTAATTGAACCCAAAGAGGGTGCCCTGGGACCTCCTGATTTACAGGTGATGGGTCAGAAGCACAGCTGACGACCTGAACTTGTCACTGGCATCTGAAGGGGGGGCAGTCTTGTAGGACTGAGCCCTTAATCCGGGGAACTGACGCTGTCTCCAGTTAGATCGTGTCAGAAATGAGTTAAGCTGCCAGACACCTAGCTGACGTCGCAGAGAACTGCTTGTTGCGGGGCAAACACAGTGCTGTTCTGTGCCAGCAGCGCTGTGAGTGCGGCAGTGCTGTGAAAAAGGGATGCAGGAGGACGGAGGCTTTTCCTAAGACACAGATCAACACCCCTATGAACACAGATGCGAAATTCCTGAGCTAACTGCTAGCAACTGAATCCAAAGCGTGGTAAAAGGATTACCAACCATAACCAAGTGGGACTGATCCCAGGAACGCAAGCGAGGTCAACGTAAGAAAACTAATCAACATAACACATCATAGTAATAGAAGGAAGACAAAAAAACACACGAGCATCTCAGTTGATGCATTAACGGCATTTGACAAAATCCAATATTGTTTTATGATAAAAACTCTCATAAAACTAAGAATAGAAGGAACTTCTTACACCTGATAGAGGACGTGGATGAAATACCCACAACTAACTTCATACTCAATGGTGAGAGGCTGAAAGCTTGCCCTGGGCTCGGGGTTAGGAACAAGACAAGAATGCACACCTTCACCACTGCTATTCAGCATCACACTGGAAGTGCTGACCAAAGCAAGTAGACAAAAAAAAAAAAGGCATCTATTGGAAAGGAAGAAGTAAGACTATCTTTATTTGCAGATGACATGACCCTATGTATAGAAAACCCCATTCACAAGAAAGCTAGAAAATATTTGCAAATCATATATCTCATGAGGGTTTAATATCCAGACTATATAAAGAACTCAACAACAAAAAGTCAAGCAACCCAATTCAAAAATGGGCAAAGGACTTGAACAGATGTTTCTCCAAGGAAGATAGGCATATGGCCAATAAGCACATGAAAAGAGGCTCAACATCACTGGTCATTAGAGAAAAGCAAATGAAAACTACAATGAGATACCACTTCACATCCATTAGCACGGCTGTTATCAAAATAACAAGTGTTGGTGTGGAGAAATTGGAACCCTCTTGCACCCCCGGCGGGACTGTGAAATGGCGCAGCTGCTGTGGAAAACAGTTTGGTAGTTCCTCAAAAAGCTAAACATAGAATGACCACATGATCCAGCAATTCCACTTCTGGTTATATATCTAAAAGAATTCAAAGCAGGGACTCGAGCTGAGCTTGTACACCAACATTCACAGCAGCACTGTTCACAGTCGCCAAGAGGTAGAAAGAGCCCAAGTGTCCATCAGCAAACGAACGGATGAACACAATGTGGTCAATCCACACAGTGGAATATTACTCAGCCATAAATAGGAATGAAGCTCTGACATGCTACAATGTGGATGAACCTTGAAAACATCATGCTGAGAGAGAGAAGCCAGACACAGACAGACAAACATTATATGATTCCACTTACATGAAATGCTTGAAAATGCAAATTCAGAGACAGAAAGTAGATTAGGGGTTGCCAGGGGCTGTTGGAGGAGGGAAAGGAATGAGGAATTTATTGCCCAATGGTTACAGAGTTTCTATTTCGGGGTGATGGAAAAGTTTTGGAAGTAGATAGTGGTAATGTATTGTGTGTGCGCTCAACATTGTGAATGTACTTAATGCCACTGAATGGTACACTTAAAAATGGTTAAAATGGCAAATTTTCTGGTGTATATATATATATTTCACCACAATACAAAAATTTAAATAAAAAAATTATAAAAACACTATCACACTCTTTGTTCCCTTCTGCAACCTGCTTATTTTCACTCCATGTTCTGGTTTGGGGATTTTTGCCAGCAAGTCTGGCTCATCACTTTTCACTGCTGTATAGTACTCCTTGGTACAACCATACCCTGACATTTCTCTGGGCTCCAGCTCCTCATTATTATGAACCATGCTATCAGGAAGACATGCACATTGGGTCTCTCTGGGGTTCAGACCAGGAGCAGAATGGCCAGGTGGGAGGGTCCAGCCATCCTCAACTGCACTCGCATGGCCAAATTGTTCTGCAACACGGTCAGACCAATTCCTACGTCCATCACCAGTGTACTCACAGCCACCTCACTGCCCCAGCCCCTGCCTGCACACCTCCCTAGGGGTGAAGAGGGGTCTCAGAGTGATTTTCGTTCCTTGACAGCTCAGGTTGAGTTTGTATTTATTGGTTGTGCCAGGTTCGTCTTCTCTGAATTGCCTGTTCGTGCCCGTACGGCGTTGAATAGTGCGTTCCCAAATTCATGTCCACCCGGAACCTCAGATTTCGACCTTTAGGGTCTTTGCAGATGTATTTACGTTAAGATGAGGTCACACTTGAGAGGGCCCTAAATCCAATGACTGGTGTCCTTATAAGAAGGCCGTGTGGAGACAGAGGCAGAGATTGGAGTGACGCAGCCACAAGTGGAGGACACCAGGGGTGACAAACTGCCAGAAGCCACCGGAAGCCGGCAGAGAGGCCTGGGACCAATTCTGCCTCACAGTGTCCAGCCCCGTTGACACCTTCACTGCGGACTTCTGGCCTCCAGAACCGTGAGAGAATACATTTCTGCTGTTTTAAGCCCCCTAGTTCGCGGTTATTGCAACGGCAGCCCCAGAAAACCATGCCGTTTGTCCATTTTTCTGTCTGGTGTTTTTTCCTTCCGTCTATTGTGTCTGGGAGGCCTTCGTATGTTCTGGAAGCTATTCCTCGATCAATTAAACGCATTGCGTATATCTTCCCTCAGTCCCTGGCTTGTCTTTTCCATTTTTTTATGGATTTAATGGTGTCCACAGTTTGCCATTGTTATTGAGTGTAACATACCAAAACCCCTCCAACTGTTCCAGTTTCCCTTGTCAAGGACGGCTTTTCCTTTGCCAGGCAGTGCAGGCTGGGGCACGCCCTCCTCCGGGGCGACCTCCCCGCGGCCTGGGCTCCGGGCGCCCCCATCGGCGCTCAGTGGCGGCGGGAGGGGGCGGCACAGTGAGTCAGCAGGGCCGGCTGCGGGGGCGGAAGCGGGCGGCTCAGCCCCTGGGACCGGCCGTGCGGGTTCCCGGCCGCGGGGGGACGGCCACCCGACAGCCTGGCCGGGCAGGAAGTGGGTCAGCTGAGGCGTCAGGCTTCAGGGCCCCACGTGGTCGCTGCCCGGAAGGCGTCCGCCGGGTGACCCCCCAGCCTCCCCCCGCCCCCGCACACCCCGCCCCCGCGCCCCGGCTGGCACGCGCGCTTCTGTAATGGTTCCACTGACCACAGCGCGCATTTAGGAAGCGCATGCTGTGTGCCAGGCTCTGGCTGAGCATGGACACACCGCCCTGCCAGGTGGGTGCGGGGGTCAGCTCCCTGTCACAGGGGGAAACTGAGGCCCAGAGCGGGGCAGCCCTGTGCATGCGTCACACAGCCCGGTGCCCGGGTCACCTAACATCTCAAATCCTCACCCTGGACTGGCTGGGGGCCTCTCTGCCCCTCGGAGTCCTCACCCTAAACACGGGATCTTGGAAGAGAACACATCTAGAAAGTTTCCACTTTTTCTCACTTTGCCTGTCTGTCTCTCCCTTGCTCTCTGCATTTCTGCTTTTCAGTCTCCTGTCTCTGTCTGTCTCAGCTTCCCCACTCCCATCCCCATCAGCACGAGGGGGGGCAGCCTGAGCCAGCCCCTCCCCCCTTCCGGGGGACTCGGACAAGTCCGGGCAAGTCTCAGGCACTCCTTGCAGAAACTGCTTAATGTCTCGTGGCAAGCCGCCAGTGCAGGAAGGAGCGGGTAGGAAAGTTGAAGAGGGGGTGGGGGATGGACTCCTTTGGGATTTCCGCGACGGCACTTTGCCCCCCTTACCCCGACCCAGGCCTGCCACACTCAATGTGCCCCAAAATGACCTCAGCATCTTCCCCCCAACTTTGAGTTTTGAGGGATGCATAGGAGTTCTCCAAGCATAAAATGGGGGAGAGGGGCTTCCAGGCAGAGGAGACAGCCTGAGGTCAGTAGAGACAAGGGAACAGGGGTTCAAACGCCCAGCAGGGGAGTCTGGTTTTCTCCTGTGGGCAAAAGAGAGCCACTGAAGGTGTGAGAAGGGCGGAGCGGCCCAGGCAGATCACTGAAAGGGATGTGGACTGGAAGGGTGGAGACCCTCACCCCGAGTGGGGCTGAGAATGCCCAGGCTAGCGCTGAGGGAAACCGCTGAATGGGGCCAAGCACGCCTCTCCAAGCCTTACCCTCGAATAAACCTCCTCGCATCTGCCTTGGAGCTTTCGGCCACCTGCGCGGCCCCCATCACAGCTGGCAGCTCTGCTCTCTACTCCCAGCCTGGGCGCTGCTGGGTCCCTGCTGTGTCCCCAGCCCCTAAACCCAGCACTCGTGAGGCACTTCATCCGCGCCTGGTGCAGCCACTGAGAGATGAGGCTCTAGGGGCGAGGAAGAGGCGCCGCGGGGGCCGCAGCTGCAGGCGGAGCGGGTCTTCCGCTCCGGGAGCCTCGGGCGCCTCCCCGCGCCCCCTGCTGGCCTCAGGACGGAACACCCAGCACTCAGCACTTGCCTTCCTCCTGTAGTTTATTGCACGCCCATTATGCGCCCAGCGCTGCGCTGGGTGCAGGGGACGCAAGGGACCCCAGGCAGACCCGCTCGCCCTCCCCAGATCCCATGAAACCAGTTGGTTACTACCCAGAGTATGTGAGGGGGGGCTGCCCAGGCACCTGTGGGAACCAGAGGAGGGGCCCGGACAGCCAGGAGGGCATCCTGGAGGAGGAAGTCATAATAATGTATTTATTAAGCAACTTCTATGTGCCAGGCACCCAGTTGAGAGCTGTAAAAACAGAATCTCACTGAATTCTCACAAAAGTCCCATGAGTATGGGGAAACTGAGGCTCAAGGAAGCAAAGTGGGGCTCAGGTCGTCTCCCCCTCCCCACCCTGGCTTCTCATGGCCCTTAGAATAACACCCTGACCCCTCCTCAGGCCTCGAGGCCCTGCGCCTCTCCCACACCCGTCCACACCCCCCTCCACCTGAATCACCCACTCCCCTCCCCACACGGCCTCACCTCCTGGCCTGCAACTTCCGGGGTGCAGCTGTGGTCAGAAGGCTTTCCTCTGGGCAGAGTAGCCAGAAGGAGGCAGGGGTTCCCTTCCAGTCAAGGGGGCGAGGGGAGGTTTCCAGGATTTGTGAAAAGGATTTCCATCTAAAAGGGACACAGGAGCATCTAGAAGGTCCACCTGGGACTGCGGCCCACACCTGGGGCCACAGAAAGAGCTGGCCTTGGGAGCAACGCCACGGAGCCATGGACACCTCCTCTGGGGGTGCCAGGACCCTGGATCCCTGGGACCTCGAGGAAGCACCTCCTCCCTGGGACCCATGTTCCCCAAGACATTTTCCTTCTTGCTGAAGCCCCTGTGGTTTCAAAGGTTTATTCTTTGAAAGCCACTGACCCTGGAGTGTCCTCATTCACACTGAGGACAGACACAGGGGAATGACCGAGTCCTGTGTCCAGTCTCCAGGCTGCTCAGCTGCAGAGGAGCCGCCCTGGGTTCACAGTCTCGCCCCTCCTCTCCATGGCTGTGACATGTGGCACAAGGGGCTTCAACTGGCAGAGCCTCAGTTTCCCCAAAGCCTCAGTTTCTCACAGGGTCGTGTGAGGGGGAATTCTGCACACACTGGGGGTCAACACGATGATGATTCAATTCCCAGCGCCCACCCCCTTGCTGTGTGACCACAGGCAAGTTACTCAACCTCTCTGTGCATCAGAACAAAGGCAGTGGGCTGTGAGGAGGGAGCACGCTCAGTGCGGAAATCCTCCCGTCCTTCTTCATTCGGCACACGCACGGCAGCCACCACAGACCGAGCCCAGGTCACACCGAGGATGGAAATCTCGGTCATTCGGGGCCCCTCTGCCTGCCGACGACCCCAGGCTGAGGATGACCCTGGTGGACGCCAACTTCTCACAAAGACATGCAAGAAACCCCATATTTGAACTGTTTTATTTGCTTTCTGGGGTGTCCAGTTTGGGGTCTCCCAGAGCCCAGCCCCCAGCAAAGCGTAGCAGACCCTGCTCCGGCCTGGGGTCCCAGGCACGGGGGCTGCAGACAAGGCACTCACGGGACTTCTGGGGGCCAGCGAGGAGCCACCTGAGGCTGCAGGGGCCGGGCCACCTCTGGGGACAGAAGCCACAGCCACCTCCGGCAGGAGAGGCTTTCCCTAGAGAGATTTAGGACCAGATAGAAACCTGAGATGGTGGGGGAGACCCGGAAACACGGCAGGGACCCCGGGGCAGGCAGAAAGCCATTCTGCTTCCCAGGCCCCAGACGGGGCCTCCTGGGGATGCGGGGACACCGCAGGCCTTGGGGGCAGAGAGCAATTCCACCCCGGCTCCTCTGGGATGTGCCCCAGAGAATGTGCAGGACACAGGGGCCCTGGCCCCAGGCTCACCCCGAGAACGGCTCGGGTGAGCCAGGCCTGGACAGTGGGACCAGGGCCACCTCCGGGAGCCGACACTGGCTTCTCTGCCCGTCCTGTCCCCTCTCTCTGGGCCCAAGTGTCCTGGAGCAGCAGGCACGTCTGTGGGTCCCTGGGCAGCTGAAGGGAAGGCTCGGGTGAGCAGAGACGAGGAGAAACGATTTTTGTCGGGGGAGCAGCTCGGGGCTGGACAGGAGCCCCTCGAGGCCTGGGAGACCCCGACACTTGGCTTGTGACAACTGCCTCCGAACCAGAGGACTGAGTTTCTGGGCCGGCACGTTCAGCGTCCATCCAGGAATTAACTTTCAAGATGTCGAGTCAGCAAATGCCCCCTCTTCCCAAATAGCCATTCTGCCCGGGGTCTGAGGGGGACCCTGTCCTCCAATGTGCCTCGTCACTGCAAAAAGAGAGATGTGTTCCCTTCCGGCACAGCCCAGGCCCTTACGAGGCACCTGTGCCTGGAGAAAGGAAATTTAATCTAGGATATAAACACAAAGCCCTTTTTGGTGCCTCCAAGTCCGTGGATGCCGTGGGATTCATGACCGGGGGACGACCTGGCATGAGGTGGCCTGTCTCTGCCTGTGCCCCTGCCACCAGCGCCCTACGCTGGCTGCAGGCTCCTGAGGGCTCCCCGCAGTCTAGGGGTGGAGGCTGGGCCCTCAGAGAAGAATGGGGCTTTGTCCCACCATCCCTGATGGGGACTTCTGGGTTCAGACACTCCAAGGGGTGGAGAGGTCAAAGGTCAACAGTGTAGACAGCGGCAGCAAAAAAAGAGGCCAGTGTCGTGGGCAGATTTCCATGGGCAGCCGCCCTCCCCGCCTGGTCACGCGGGGGTCACAGGCGTGCACGTGTGCACACACACCAGCCGGCCTGGCTTCCTGGAAGAAACTTCTACGATGACAAAAAGGCATCTCGAATCTACTTTTCCAGCCATCCCCCTGAGCAGGCCCTTTCTGTTCTAGAAGTTTCCATGCCAGCAAAGAATAGAGCAGCTGAAAACTATTTTCCTGGCTGAAATGATTAAATTCTGACATCTCCCCAAAGACCTAGCACCGATTGGGAAGCCATGATTTCTGCCCCCCGCCTGGCCCTGTCTCTCCTGGTGGCTGTTCCTTGCTTGGGCCAGGTGGCACCAAGCCCCGTCCATCAACTCGAATTCCTGCTTCTTCCCACCTTTCTTTCTGTCCACTCATTTCTTTTTCAAGCCACATCCTCATGCACATACCACTGATCTGCTTTTTGGTGGGGAGGGGAGCCACGGGAGCTGGAGAAGAAGAAACACACAAGGTGCAGAGGCTCCGGCATCTTAAAGGAGATGCCATCACCAGACACCTAGATCACTGTCCCTACCCCTTATTCCCCATCCCAGCAGGGAGGGATCCCCCTCCTCTCTCCTACAAGACCCCTCCCACATCGCCTCTCATGTTCGCCCCTCCAGCCTTCCCATCACATCTCTCAGCCCATCTTTCCACCGTAACCACTCGCTGCCCCCACTTCTGGCATTGCTCTCCTCCACACCTGCCACGCCACACCCACTTCACAGACCCATCCCTTCTGCCCCATTCTGCGCCCGCTGCTCCGAGACTCTGAAAATGACAAGGGAGAAGGAATGGGACTTGGTCCCCCCTCCACACACAAGGACATTTTAGTCTGAGACCCAACAAATGCAGACAGACACGCCATGGTGTGAATGGATGAGTTCTCCCAAAAGAAAAAGATAAAAAAATTTAAAAGAGAAAAATACAAAGCTGGCAGGGAGCAAGTGAAATGTTTAATGGCTGTCTGATTAAATAAAAATGAGCTAAATGCTCTGCATTGTGGACAAAGACAGGATTCCAGCTGGACTCGATGAGGAAATCTGAAACCATTGCAGGAACACAAAAATGACACACACACACTCGACAATGGCCGGACAATAAGTTATATCTCTAAGTTGCTAACTCACATGGTGCTTTAAACAGAGAGGCGAGACGAGGACAAAAGAAAGATGAAATGTGGAATTTGAGGGTGGTGTGTCTGGGTTCCAGGGGCTGCCCGGCTGAGCTCAGACCTGGCTCACCTCCAGCCCCCTGCCCTTCATCTTGCCTAGACCCATTTTCTCCTCAGAGCCCTGCAGATCAGATCTTTGGGAAACAGAGCTACACTGGGCTTGATGTTGTTCTGAATAAGACCTCTGGGGGACCCCTGGCCTTGAGCTCCTCACATTCAAAAGAGTCACAACTTCTGCTCGCAGAAGCTGGCTGAGCGAGTGGACGCAAGGACGTCCCACACCCGGGATTTCTCTGGAGGCTGCAAGCCTGGACTGGAGACCTGGAGAGGGGCAGAGCGAGGGCTGGCCCGGAGAGGGGAGCAGAGTCCAGATCATTTCAACCTGCTGGCCACTGTCCACACCCACTGCCCAGTGCTGACCCCAAGCCACCCACCTGCACTCACTTTCCCTCCAGAAAAAGCCCAGGACTCAGAAACCGCGTTTAACTCAGAAACCCATCAACCCATGTCCCAAGCAACACAGCAGCTCAGCAGAGCCAGGACCACCCCGGCCAGCGGGACAGGAAGGGGAGGGTGGATGTTTGAGAAGACGAAAAGCTCAGCCGTTTTAGAAAGAACTGTGCGCTGGGAGGCACCGCCGCGGTCCCACACGGCCTCACACCCCAGCACGCTCCACGATGGGACCGCACGCTCTCCAGAAAACAGAGGACGGCTGCCAGAGCGCGCCTGCTCCTCGACCGCCTTCACGGTAACTGCAGCCGCCCTCTCCCTCGGACAGACGGGTGTCAAGGTCCAGCTGAACTGAGTCACCTCCTAGGGGATGTCATTCTCTGGCTAGTAAGTTCAAAGTCACCAGGGAGGGAAATAAAAATTTACCCCTGAGTCCCGGGCGCCTCTCCAAAAACCGTCTACACAAAAGCCCGCTGGCAGCCCCGCTGCCCTCCCGCCGGAACACGGCAGCACACACGGAGCCGGCAAACCCCAACCCCAGGCCCCATTTGGGGCCCCTGAAGGAGCAGCAGCAGCTGACCCCAGCTCAGGACTGCGACCGTCCAGGCCAGATGTGGGGCGGGCCTGCAGCTGCTACAAATTCTTCCACATTAAAAAACAAATCCATGTGCACGTCGCAGTGGCAGGGTCTGCTTTTCAGCTGGCGGCCGCTTCTGCAGCCCCCGGGCGCGGCGCGGCTCGGGCTCAGATGCTGAGAGCGTCAGCCACCCTCCCACCCCCCGGCGGAGCAGGCACCCTCCCCGTGGCCGGGCCCTGCCCCGCCCAGCAAGGAGACCTCCAGGTCAGCCTCACGACAAAGATGTAGGTCCAGTTTTGGGGTCAGGAGGCAGAAGGGGCCGCATCCCACTTTTGAAAAATAAAAGACACTTTTGTTGTTGGCTCAAGTCCGCTTTTGAACCAAAGGAAATATAAATTACTCTGTGCCCAAACTAGCACTATTGTTTTAAAAAAGAGAATAAGAAAGAAAAAAAACCCCAGGCCATACGCCAAGGCTGCCCTTTCCGAGGCTGTCCAAGCTGTCTGGACATAGATCAGGGCAGAGGCTGTCTGAGAGGCTGTTAAATTCGGGAAAAACCCATCCCAGGTGGAGGGAGCTCGGGCATCCCTTCACAGAGACTTAGAAAAGTGCACAGGCGGCCCCCGCTGTGGGACCCCAGCAGGAGACGCACTCGACCAGGATTCTCTGCGGAAACCAGGACCCCCAGCCTCCCCGCCATCGTGGCCGTGTCCCCAGATGCAAAGGGAAACAGAGAAACAATCTGCAGCCACCTCCATCACACCCACCAGCACTTGTGCAGAGAAAAAGGGAGAGCAGGTGTAAGTCAAGACATTTGATCCAAATCCGATCCCAGCTGATGAGCTTGTCCTTCCCAGCCAGGCCCCGAGGGCGGACGTCTCTCCCAGGGTCCCCGGTGGGACGAGGTCCTGGGAGGCCTGAGTGGCTCTCAGTGTTTGTGGCGACAGCTGATCTTGCCTTCCGACTGCTCCAGGACGTCCAGCATCTCCTCGATGATGGCCCTCAGCGCCCTGCCCAGCTGGTCTGCGTTGTACGGCTTGCCCAGGGGGGGCACGTGGACGAAGGCCGAGCGGCCGTGGCTCTGGTACAGGGAGGTGTAGTAGGTGAAGTCGCAGAGGTACCTAAGCCCAGGGCGTGGGGGCAGGGAGACCACAACGGGGTCAGAGTCAGTCCACTGATCAACAGGACCCCTCCGTCTAAATCCACCGGAAGACCCCAACCTCACCAGAAATCCGAAAGAGGGAAGATGGCCCCTCTCCCGAGGCTGGTGGAAATGAAAACCCCGATATCTCCCAGTGAGGTGTACACGTGGGGCGTCGGCAGTGCAAGGTAAGAACACAACAGGACAAACCCTAAGGCAGCGAGCTGAGGGTCTGCAGACGGACGGGAAATGCAGGGACCAGGAGGGCTCCAATTTAAGTCTCTGATTCAACAGAGGGATGGGGGGGAGGAGAGGGCAAAAGAGTTTATCACAACAGGAATGTAAGAATATATTCCAGAATTATCTGTCTATCTTAAAATTAGTTTTAAAATGAGACTGATGGTAAATTCAGTCACTCCTTCATTCTTTCACTCAACTGAATTTGCCACCTGCTGCCTTTGGGCTGGAGAAGGGTATGAAGGGTTGAGAAATGGAGGCACCTGGTACTGAGAGGGCATAGAACCGAGAGGACGTAACTTGTCTGGGAGGCTGGGGAGGCCTCCCCAAGGAGGCAACGAGTTGGAGCTAAGACCTGGAAGAGGCATTATCAGAGGGGGGTGAATGCTGGGCAGGCGCCACAGCACGTGCAAAGGCCCTGAGGCTAGAGAGAGCTTGGTGTGTTTGAGGAACAGGAGAAGGCTGGTTTGTGTGTCTGGAATGCAGTGGGTGAGGGGAGAGTGGAGGCAGATGAGGGTGGAGAGGTGGGCAGGGGCCAGACCACACAGAACCTGTGGGTGGTGGGGAGAGGTTGGGATTTGATTCTTGGTGCAGTGGGAGCTGTAGGAGGGATTAAGCAAGGAAGGGATATCATCTGACTTGAATTTATAAAAGACCTCGTAATAGGCTGAATAGTTTCTCCTCAAAATTCTAGTTCACCTGGAACCTCAGAATGTGACTTTATTTGGATAGAGGGCTTCCACAGATGTAATTAGTTAAGATGAGGTCATACTGGACTAGGGTGGGTGCTAAACCCAAAGACAGGTGTCCTTATGAGAAGGCCACGTGAATACACACACAGGGAGAAGGCCACGTGGAGATGGAGGCAGAGATGGAAGGGATGCGTCTACAAGGCAAGGAGCAGCAAGGGTGCCAGCAGCCACCAGAAGCCAGGAGAGAGGCCTGGGACAGATCCTCCCTCAGAGTCTCTGGAACTGCGAGAGAATCAACTTCTGTCGTCCCAAGCCACCCATGTGGTGATCTGTCACAGCAGCCACAGGACACTAATATAGAAACCACTGCTTAGGGAGAAGGACTGGCAGGGCTGGGGAAGAGACGGCAGGAAGGACGCCACGGAGGTGGCTGGGCAGTGTCCAGGGGAGATGCCAGGGGCCTGGGTGGGGAGAAGTGGGCAGGCCCCACACAATGAGCTCCAGAAGCGGAATCAGTGGGGCCTGGTATGTATACATGCTTAGCTCTGTGCATCACGCATGGTGAGAATTCTATCATATGAAATGCTGTGTAAAGTTTTCTACACAAAAATATTATGGATAATACTATTAAAATATCCCATGCTTTAATCAGATGGTAAATCAATGAAGTTTTAAAAAGTAAAAAAAAAAAAAAAAAAAAAGTGAGTGCTTGGCCCAAAGAGATCCAAGTCAACACACTCAGCTTGTTGTAGACCAGCGGGGGCAGCAGAGGAGGGAAGCCTGCCCACACCCACCCCAGATGGCCCCATGGTGCCCTACCTGCCAGCATCCTGTGAGATGGTCACTGACACATCCAGGCCCAGCGTAGTGACCCTCTTACACACAGCATCCATGTCGATGATGGAGTCAATGCTTTCAGGCCCATCCTCCACACAGCACTGGGAGCCGGGGCAGAAGCGGCAGTTGTCCAGCCCCTTGTAGCCCTTGTTGTGCCCGCACTTCTCCAGCGTGACTGCCGTCGCCATCCCCGACACCCCAACATGCACCACCAGCTGTGGACAGATGGGCAGGGCTTAATGGGATCTGGCCATGAGACTGGCGGTACCCTCAGGCCAAGGGGAGGGCAGTATCCTGGCTAGGTTCTGCCTGGGGTTACATTGTTTCTGACCTCGTGCTGCTGGAATAGACCCTACAGTCACTCTTGCAGAAAGGTATGCCAAGTGAAACGTGCAAGAATGGTGTAACATGCAGAGATGTTCACTGCAGCTTTGTCATTACAATCAAATACTGGAAACAACCTAATTAGCCATTCATGGGGGCGGGGTGGTGGTGGGAGGCGTTGGCTAAATAAATTATGAACTACTATGTATGTAGCTGTTAAAATGCCCAAGGCAAGTTCTTGAAGACATACTGCCAAATGCAAAAGGCAAGGTACAACTTCCAGGAATACAGCTTAAAAATAACCCATGAGGTGGGGCCAGCCCCATGGCATAGTGGTTGGGTTTGGCACACTCCACTTCAGTGGCACAGGTTCGGATCCCAGGCGTGGTCCTACACCACTTGTCAGCCATGCTGAGGTGGTGACCCACATACAAACTAGAGGAAGATTGGCAACAGATGTTAGCTCAGGGAGACTCCTCCTTGCCAAAAAGAAATAATAATAATAATCCAAGAGGTAATAATCTGTCAATGATGACTTCCGTGTTACTCATAAATGTAAGAAAACACGTGGAAATGACTGGCATACCCAATAATAGGAAAATGGTTACATTAATTACTAAAAACTACCCAGCCACTAAAATGATGTTTAGACATCAGCATCACGGCAGAGTGAGTTGTCCCCTTTGTCTCTCCCCTCTAAGTAACAACTAAACGGACATTCATTAACCAGCAGAGGATTCCCTGCACAGCACAACAATATGTCTGAGAGATCCACGCAGCCATATGTCTGAAGGTGGGGGGACTGGATTCCCGGGAGGCAGTGGAACTAGGTGAGTGGACCCCTCCCCCACCCACCCCTCCGGTGGCAGTGATCTAGGTCTTGGGTCCTCACATGGCGGCTGGGGCGACTGTAAGAGGAGGTGGGAGCAGCCTGGCCTGAGTGCGAGCGCTTTCAGAGTGGTAGCCTGGCCTGCAGGAGCACCCACTGTGCCACGACAGCCCTGTCCATGGGTCCACTCCCCACTGAGTGGCGCAGCTCAGCCCCTGTGATGGAGCCCCCACCAAGTGCAGTGGCTCAGCTGAACTGCCCATGAGTGCAGAGCTGGCCTGTGTGCACGAAAGAAAGCGCCCCTCCCCTCCCGCCTAGCACAACAGCTCTGCTGGTCCCCTGCCGAGTGCAGTGGTCCCATACCAGAATGACCTGCCAACGGAACACAGAGGACCCTAGCACACATGCGTGTGTGACCCGCCAAGTGGCTGCAGCCAGTGCACAACCATAGGGCAGCCCAAATGGCACAACTTCCAGCAGACGCGGCAGGATCAGAAAACACAGCTCCTGCTCCCCTCCAGTGGTGGCAGGTGGAATCTGCGACCTAATGCTACCACAAATGCACCAGCAAAGGATCAATTCATCAAAGGCCATGAAGAACTACAGTAACACTTCAGAGCAGAAGGAAAATGACAAGTCTCCAGAAATCAATCCTGAAGTCACAGAAATTTACAATCTAAATGACAGAGAACTCAAAATAGCTGTCATAAAGAAACTCAATGAGTTACAAGAAAACAAAGACAGCTCAACGAGCTCAGGAATAAAATTAATAAGCAGAAGGAATTCTTCATCAAAGAGACCCCCAAAAAAACCAAACAAATTCTGGATATCAAGAACACAACTGGGGCCGGCCCCGTGGCTTAGTGGTTAAGCGCATGCGCTCTGCTACTGGCGGCCCGGGTTCAGATCCCGGGCGCGCACCGACGCACTGCTTCTCCGGCCATGCTGAGGCCGCGTCCCACATACAGCAACTAGAAGGATGTGCAACTATGACATACAACTATCTACTGGG